TCTCTACACTCCAGTGCAATCTTCAGAGTTTCTTCTGACATCCATTTTGGTCTTTTCTTTCTCTTCTGTCTTTGTAATGACCGTTTACACAAAACCAAGAGCCAATATCATTCTCAATGGAGAAAGACAACAAGCATTTTCCTTGTGAACAGGGACCAGATAGCACTGCTATTCAGTATTGTACTGGAAGTGTTTGCTAGGGCAATGTGACAAGAGAAGGAAATAAAATCATTCCAATCAGCAGAGATGGTTAAATTGTCACTATATGAAGATGATATGATAGTGCACACAGAAAAACCCAAGGATTCAACAACAACAAAAAAACCTGTTAGACCTAGGAGACTAGTAGTGACTGGATACAAGATCAATATAAAAAAATCAGTGGGATTCCTTCCTGTACAGTAACAAAGAGTACTCAGAGATGGAAACCAAGACAGAAAAACCATTGAAAATAGCCAACCACAAATTGAGATACTTGGGAGTAAACCTAACTAGAGACAAAAAAGACCTATAAAAAAACTATAGAACATTTTTGTGAGACTCAATAAAAAGCCCAAACAAATGGAAAAATGTTCATGGGTATGAAAATTCAATATTGTGAAAACGACAGTCTTACCAAAAGCAATCTTACATCTTCAATGCCAATATAGATACCATTTCATTTTACAAGGAGATTAAAAAGGAAATTGTCAAGTTTATTTGGAGAGAAAGAAGACCCCCGAATAAGCAATGCAGTTCTGAAAAACAAAAATGAAGAGGGAGGCATAGCACTCCCTGACCTCAAAACCTACTACACAGCAGTAGTAACCAAAAACAGCACAGTACTGATAAAATGACAGGCACACAAACAAATGGAACAGAATTTAGAACCTAGAAGTGGACCCAGAAATGGTCAACTGATATTTGACAAGGAAATAAAGCCTATCAAATGGGGAAATGACAACCTCCTCTTCATTAAATGGTGCTGGCAAAACTGGACTGCTACCTGCAGAAAGCTGAAACAGGATCCACATCTCATACCATACACAAAAATAAACTCAAGGTGGATCAGAGACCTGGGAGTTAAGCCCCAAGCCATAAAAGTCATCAGAGACAAACTAGGATCAAGCTTAAAATGGCCTAGGCTATGATACAAAGAGACTGCCAAATAGAGCCAGAAATGCACAAATCTGGAGAGGATAAAATTGATGAATGAGATATTCCAAAGATCAAATCTCTCTGTTCATCAAAAACTTTCTCTAACAGTGTGAAAAGAAAACCTACTGACTGGGAAAAAACATAAAACCATCTCAGACAAGTGTCTGAAAACGAACGTTTACAGACTACTCCTGGGCCTCCAGAAGAAAAAGACTGATAATCCAATTCCAAAATGGTCAAAAGACATCATGGAAAGACTTTTCACAGAGGAGGACATTTGGAAGGCCAACAGACACATGAAGAAATGCTCAAAATCACCGGCAATTAGAGAGGTGCAAATCAAAACCACAAGGATCTACCATTTCATGCCAGGAGCAGTGGTAAAGTTTAGCAGGGCAGGAAGTAATAAATATTGGAGAGGATGTGGCGAGATAGGAACTCTAATACATTGTTGGTGGGATTGTAAAATGGTACAACCACTTTGGAAGGCAGTTTGGCATTTCCTCTAAAAGCTGAACCTAGAAATTCCATTTGATCCAGCTATTCTACTGCTTGGAATATATCCTGAGCAAATGAGAACTGAGGCACAAACAGAAACTTGTACACCAATGTTCATAGCAGCATTATTCACCATAGCAAGAACATGGAAATGGCCCAAATGTCCAACCACAAATGGAATGGATTGAAAAATTATTCACACAGTGGAATCCTATGCAGTATGCAGGAGCAATGATTTTGTAAATTACTACCTAACTTGAGGGGGATTATTTCCCTTTTGCATTACGCTAAGTGACCTAAGTCCCAAAAGGACAAATACTGTAGAAGATCATTATTCTAGAATGTGTAAAAGAACCCAAGGCAAGGAGGGGAGCAGAAGGGTGAGGATGGGCCGGTCGGGGTGGAGTGCTTAATTTGATGGGATGCACAATTTGTGCTTAATTTGATGGGATGCGTGGAGGGTCAAGGAAAAGGGAAAGATCGGGTGTGAAAAACAATGTATATGAACTTTGTTAGTAATCAGTGCAAATAAAAAATTGTATTTCAAAAAACACTCTCACACAAATTATACACACACTCTAACACCTATACACATACCCACTCCTTCCAAAACACACACACACCCTCCTCACACTCACATATACCCACTCCTCCCCAGTATATGCATAGACACACAAATATTCACTCACATGAACCATACACACTACCTTACACTTATACACATATCCACTCCTCTCCAACACATATGTACACACACTCATATACACTCACATGAATCACACACACACACTCATATTCATGCACATACCCACTCCTCCCCTACACACATGTACACACACTCATATACCCTCACACTCCTACCTTCCTCTCCCAGAGGAACTTTCCATTTCCCTCAATAAGGGTCATAATATCCCTCCCTTCTGGTCGGGCAGAGACCCAGGGCACACCTGGCCAACCCTCCCACTGTCTGAGAAGTGTCACCTGATACCTGTGACAGCAGCACCCCATCCCCCTCTTGAGAGGGCTGAGGGAGCCCCAAGAGCATCTGTGGCCAAAATGCACCCCTTGAGCCACAGGGGAAAGTGTAGGGTTAGAGACACTGAGAAGGTCTCTCTGACAACAAAGCAGCCACACGGACAGCTGAACATCAGAACTTCAGGTTTATTCGAGATATCAGCAAAGTCTCCCTAAGGTCAGCTGCATGCAACACACAGGTTACTCGTTGGACACAGTTATCCTACAGCTTTAGTTACTGCATGGTAAGGCTTCTTAAGTCACAGTGTAGTCTTCACGGCCGGGGCCAAAGAAAGAGACTCCACACAAAATTACGTCAGTTCACATCAACCTCTAATGACCTAACTAGACTATGTGTCACTTGAGCTACAGACTCACTTGCATTGTTGATGGTGTGCCCTGCCCACCCAACAGCCAGTGAGTACAGCAATGTGCAGGTGGGCAGTGCCCAGGGGGCAGCATGTGTGTGGATGTGTGTATGTGTGTGGCCACATATGCAAGTGCAGAGCAGATTGTCCTCATCCTGGAGGGAGAAGGTGCCCCAAGCCCATGGTAAGCCCTGTGAGTACAGACCTGCCCCCGGTGCAGGACAGCAGTCCAGCAGGGTAGCTGTGGTTGACGGAGTCATCATGAAAACCCTTCAGTCTGAAGGTTTCAAAATGAAAATAAACTCCATAATATTATCTAAATAAATAGGGAGTTTTAATGTCATGACCAGCATCTTTTAGCTTAGGAACACCGCCTTTCTTGTTAAATAATGACAACCAGTCACACGTTCCCAAACTTTAATTAGCAGGTCCTGGGCGTCCTGTCTGCAACCTGGGAAGCAGTATCAGTGCAGGCCCATCTGGGGCCCTCGGGGACCAAGGAGGTAGGCCTCCTGGTGGCCCCGTCCTCGCCCACTGCAGACACACCTGTCCACCCAGCTTCAAGGAACAAAGACACAGCCTACACCACACAGCACACATGACATCCTTGGCAGTTGCTATGAGGAAACAGTTCAGGACGTGGTAAAATGCTTGAATGTTTCAATAGGTTTGTTTCTGTGACTCTTTTTTGATGGAGACAGAGCCCTTCTAGGAAGAGAAGGGCAGGGGTGTGGGCACACCCACTGGGAAGCGGAATCCTCGAGGCTAGTCAGCGATGTCTAAGCCACAGCCTAGATGTACAGTGGTGTCTCCTGGCCCGTGAGCAACCGGAACATGGCGGCAGGCATGGTCTTCATGTGGATCTGGAGGGGAGATTGCAGCTGACCACTGGCCCTGGCTGAGCCTCTGTTGAGCTTAGGCAGCATTGCTGTAGGCTCAGGCCCTGACAGCCCAGGCCCTCCCTGGGTTCAAAGGAGGGGTAGGGCTTGGACCCCAGATGAGCCTCCCATCCCACCATACTCCATCCCCTCTGCCAGCCCCAGGGAGAAGGCCTCAATCTCCACAGAAGCTCCTAGAGGGTCAGTGCCCCAAGGGGAGCAATGGTTGGCAACCGGGGGCCCACCTCCTTTTTTTCTGTCCCTGAGCCCTGCCTGCTCTTCCCAGTACCACTGGTGTCTCTCAACTCACCTCCCATACTACATGCTCTCTGCCCTCAGAACCCATAGAATGCACAACATCCCCCTGAAAACCCTCTTCCCAGTTTCCAAGATTTCCAGGCCTTGGCATAAGGCTCAGTCTCAGGGCTACCTCCACCTCAGTTGGTCACAGCCTTTAGGGACACTGCCCTCACAGCCTCTGCAACCTCGCCTTGTCTCCTGCCCCTAATTTATTGTTTCTGAATCACCAGTCTCTCCCTAACTAGAAATGAGGGCCAGATGCTGAACAGGGAAGTTGTGTGGTAGTGTTTGGGTACTAAAGATGGGCATGGCCTGAATAAAGGAATTACAGGTTCATTCTAGCCTGGCCTGAATAAAGGAATTACAGCTTCATTCTAGCCTGGGGCTCTGGGTCATTACCCTTGCTCACACTTTTAAAGCTACCACAATGCCTGTGAAGAAGGAAAGTAATTGGGAGTCATTCCACAGGACATGCAGCCACACCAAGTTCACTGGAACTGAGTCAGTTCCAGCCCCACAGCAACCCTCTCCTGAGTTTCCAGCTGCAGAGCTCCATGAGAAGAGACTGTCCATCTTCTCACATGAATTTAAACCACTGAATTTTATGTAAGCAGCCTGGCCCATTACACACTATGCCACAAGACACAAATTCCCTCCCTGGCCCAGGCTGACAGCCTCTGAGTCTCCTCTGCCTTGGTCCCACTGTTCTCCCCAATAAGAGGGAGTCTCTTCTTGAGCAGCAACCCAGTCAGGGGACCCTCTGTGCAGGCCTTGACTTGGACAGGTATTCCAAGTCCGGTGGCTACTGGGGAGCCATTCACTCCAACCATTCTCACCCAAATACATACACATACCCTTCTATAGCACTGACTGAAGTGTCTTCCCACATGCTTCCTTCTCACCCACTGCTATCCTGTCTCTCACCCTGTGCTCTCCTGATTTACTTGTGATCTCTTAACAAACGCTGGGTCCCTTTCCTCTGCACTCACATCCATTCTCTTTGGGCACTGACTGATGCCAGAAAGAACTGAACTGGATGGAAGGTTCAAAGCCAGCAAAACAGGAAAGGTCCCAGCAAGTGCAATGGGGCCCATGTGCAGGCCAGTGCTATAGGGACTGAGCATGCATGACGCAGTTCTGGAAACATCTTAAGAGCTCTATTTGCTGAGAGGCTTGGCATGCAGCTATACAGAGGCCAGACGACAGGGCCCAATGTGACCTGGCACTGCTCATCCTGTCATGGACCCTCTCTGGTGTGGACATCACTTGGTCAATTCCACTGTTCCTCAGAGGCCACACTGAGCTAGCAAACAAGGACACACTTCCTGGTCCCATAAAAAGGGCACACTTCCTCTAGATTGGCCTGATGGTCTTCCTGACATGGGTTAGCAAGGCGTTGGACTCAGACTGTGGTCCCATGAAGATGGGGAGATTGCCCAGCATATCTTACCTCTCCGACAGAGTTAGACAGGGCTTGCACGATCTTCTCATGGGCTGTGGCCACAACACTCTGTCCATTGATCTCAATGATGCGATGGCCAACTCGCACACCACCTCGCTCAGCGATACCACCTCTCATGAGGCTGCAGATCTAGCCAGACACACAAGAGGTCAGCATGCACCTGCCCACCTGCCAGATTCTTGTCCACCTGCCAGGTGCTTGTCTTTGCCCTCAGAGATGGGAGAAAAGAAATCAACCATGCAGAGGGAAAAGTCCTTCACAACAGGAAGGACAAGGGAGTTAAAACCATGATGGCTTTCATAGCTCCCTAAAACTTGTGAGAGTGGCAGAACATGAAGACACCCATTAGTCAAGGTCAGCACCACTGTGGCAGCAGGAAAGAGCAGGTCCCACGGGTCTGGAGCTGCCAGCTTATGGGGAGCAGGCAACCATACTTGGCAGTTCTCTCTAGGAGCTGCATTCACCTTGGAGAACCTTTAAAATGAGTGGGAAGCGAAGCCCTGGGGATGAACCTGGGAGAATCAGGGGAAGAATGTGTAAGGAAGACTCAGGTTCCTGGCAGACCCTCTCCATTTAGGAGCTGCATAGACCACCTTCAGGAGACCAAGTTCTATCTCCAGAGAAATTGGAGCACAGGCTCCAGGCTGAGATTCCTCAGGCAACAGAGGGAAGGCATGGCATGCTAGCTGACAACAGGAACTACGCTCATATTCTGAACAGTGAACTTTCTCTGAAGCGGCAACTGGAGAAGCGGCAATAAGGTCCTCAGAGAGGCATGAGGCTTCTTTAGAGATGCTGCCTAGCCCAAGAGAAGACAGCAAGAACAGCCACACAGCTGAAGAGTGAAATCAATGCTAGCTCAAGTGAAAATGCATAAGATGCAGAACTGGCATATGCGTTATCGTGTGTTATAATAATAAAAATCAAAAGACAGTAAATTAAAATAATAAATGAAAACAAACCAATAATAAAATAAAAAAATAATAATAGCAATAAAAAAGAATGTTCAGACAAGGGTCACCAATCGTTTTGAGCAAAATATTGATCAAGGTAGACACCAAAATAAGGGTCTAAGTAGAGATAAGAGATTCCAAAGAAGAAAGAGAACAACAGAGAGTTGGCACGGCCTTAAAAATCTACAATGAATAGAGGGGAAAGTACTGTGTTTGTAAAACCAGAACATAATCTATGAATAAGAAAAAGGTCTTGGCATTAAAATATGATAATATAGGGAGCACTAGTGGCCTAGTAACAAGAAGCTATGCTGCAATCCTGAGGGCATATGGTTCAAATCCACCAGCTGCTCCGCAGGAGAATTATGGGCAATTTTCTATTGAGTGATTAATTGCCTCTGAAAACCCACCCGATGGTCAGCTATGGGTTGGTTCTGACTCACCAGGACACAACAACAATAAGTATAGTTGTATGTTGTTAAGTACATACATATGAACCATATGCCAGGAGGAGACTGCCCATCTCTCTCCCTAGGAGCAATTGGTAGATTTGAACCACCTGCCTTTGGGATTGCAGTGCAGCTTCTTGCCACTAGGCCACCAAAAAGCTCCCAGAACATAATCACACTTAAAAATAGTTTCATGATTGACTGGACAATAGCCCAAGTAAAAGCTTATCTTCAGAAAATTTCAGGACCCTGGGGGGACAAAGGATCCTTCCAAATGAACTATATACAACTGAAAACTCTTTAGCAACATAACTGGAAATGATAAAAAGAAAAAAAAAATCTCATGTAAAAGTTATTTCTTGCCTGAGTTATCTAGTGCTGCTATAAAAGAAAGACCATAAGGGGTAGTACTAACAGACAGAAATCTTCTTTTCTCTCGGTCCAAGAGGGCAGAAGTCTGAATGCTTGGTGTCCCGTCTTGGAGACAGCCCTTTCTGGGTAGGCTCTGAAGGAAAGTCCTTATCTATTTTGAGATTCTGGTTCTGGCAATCTTCATATTTTGGGGATCTCTCTTCTCCATTTTTTACGTTTAATTTTATTGCTTGTTTAACCTCTTTTATATCTCAGAAAAGATTGACTTAAGACACAGGTTACAACAAAGTTGTTCACTAACATAACAGACAATTCATTTTCAACGGGGTTTTAATCATAGACATAGAGGTTAGGATTAACAAAATATATTTTGGGGACACACAATCTAACTCACAATACTTCCATTCTATAATCCTATATTTCGATTCAAACTCTCAAGTAATTGGCAAAAGAAAGATTTTCAAATATGCAAAAGCTCAAACTATATACTTGCTTTAAATTCTTTATCAAGAAGTACTAAAGGCTCCTCCCAAACAAAAGCATAAATAGTGAACAAAGGCTTGGAATTCCCAGATAGGATATATGGTGCACCAGAAAAATGGTGATGGGAATTCCCAGAGGACAGTAAAGAGAAATCCAGTGAGACGTTCTCTGGCAAGGCTTATATGGATGATGCAGACCAAATGGAGCAGGGAAACGGAGGATTTCAGTAGGTAAATCTCCAAGGACAGCATGCGAACAATCTTAAAATTACCCTGGTGAACGCAGAGATAAACTAATGATAGGTGCCCAGAAGAAATGAGACTTTTGAATGTTGGCAGAGAAGAGTGAATAGACTCTGAATAACAAATCTGTTTGGAACTACGTCAAGACTGAAGGTGGACAAGACACAGACTCATGTACTCTGGACATGTCATTGGAAGGGACCAGGCATTAGCCAGCTTACTACATCTTTCAGAGAAAGAAATCATGATGTCTACAATTGAAGATCAAAACAGCAGCCTATGGGCATGGTTTAGAAGAAAGAAGGAAGAAGGAAAAAAGGAAGAAGAAGAAGAA